AAAAAAAAAAAAAAAACAGGCTTCAAGGCTTCAGGAACTATTTTTCAGAATAAAGTCACATCTGAGAGATCTCTGAATAACACTAAAGCTAAGTCTTGCATCAGTGATGAAAAGTGACAGATGAAAGTGACAATGAAATGACAGCTCTAAAACTCTAGCATTCTGAAAAAAATATACTGTACATAGCAAATCTAGGAAGAAAATAAGAGGAAGCGACTGGAGGAGAAATTAAAAACACCGTTTTACCCTCACAACTTCACTTTGCAATCATACATCTATATGGTTGCCTATTAAAATAAAAAAGTAATGCAAATTATTTTAGCATGGCCCATTGGAACTGTGACAGGGGAAAATGTGGTAAAGCCTCTCAGAGAGTCTCTTGGTAATTTTATCCTACCAGGCTTACCTGCAACCTCTGAAAGCAAGAAGGGACAGGAACGAGGTTAAATAAACAGGAAGAAGGTTAAATAAAAATAATAATAAAAAAGATGGTGTCATATGCCAAGGTCCTGGTGGATTAAAAAGCAATGTTAATTCTGGCATTTGTCATGAAAAAGACATTTACAGAAGGCACTTTCAAGTTCAAAATAAACTTCTGTGTAAGAGTGAAGCCTGTGTAAAGGAAAAGTGGAAGGCACATGAACAATGAAAAAAAAGAAAAATCATAAATACATTACCTTTGAAAAAACTGTCTTTAAGTATTAGTACATTTTGGTAGAATTGGGGATTTTTACTGCTTTTGGTTTTTTCTAAGTAATGGGACATGCTTAGAGGTATTTTACTGTAGTTTTTTTGCTGGCTTTGGGGGGTTTGATTTGTGTTTTGGTTTTGTTGTTTTTAAAGAGATTTGCAGGAAATCCCTCACTATTTAAACCCAAAGCACCATTTCAAAGCATGTCAGCATCAGAGCCAAAATCCAGCATTCTAGGAATTCAAACTGAGGAAGTCAGAGAAGTCAGCAGTGAGACACAAACAAACGAACAGAAAGCAGGTGTTTTATGCACACTTACAGTTAATTCACAAGCCCTAGAGGGCTCTAAATAGCAAACTGAGGTGGCAGAGTACGAGTTCCTGAGCATTAATGATTGCTGTGAATGAAGTTCAGTAAATACAGCCAAGCTTAAACAAAAACCATTACAGTTTATAATGCATCAACCAACTAACAACTTCTACCCAAACAACAGAATTTGTGCAAAATACACTCTCCTTCAAAACTCACCATTTGATTTTATTTCTCGTACGTAGTTACTTGGAAACCACCCTGTTTTGCCATTTAGAGTTCCTTCCCACCAGCCTCCTTCTTCCACTCTTGTAACGTGAATAATATCTCCTTTTGAAAAAGAAAGCTCATCTTCATTTGTCTGTTGAAAATTGTATTTTGCTCTGACCACCAACTGATGATTGCTGTTATCTGTCATGTCCTAGGGAAAATACAAAGAACCAAAACATTCATATTAGAGATGTTAACAATTATTCCACTAACAAATGTAAACATAAAACAGCCTCTCTTCCACAAACAATACTCTCCACATGTCTCTACTGTAAGCATTTTTAAAGGATTATTTGCCATTTTCAGCACTTCTTTCATTATCTATGGATTTGTACCAGCCCAGGGAGTACATTGCCTTATTACAGCCCCTTCAAATCAGAAAGGGGTAACAAGAGCTAAAGTGAGAATAATTCTTACTCCTAGAAAAAGCAAATTCCACTTTCTAGATATAGTATAAATTGAAACTGCCTCTGGCAACTACTAAGAGACAACAGCTTTACATTTTGAGTTGTTTTTTTTTTAAAACTTTCTGGGCTAGGAGAAAGGCAGAACTGAGATGTGATTAATTTAAGACTGGATACAAATAAAGTTGTTGCAGCTTAAAACTTTTTTTTCCTTTAACAGATCAGGTTGGAAGATTTCACACCTAAATGTGCAAGTCTCCATGGCCTGCCAATGGATGACAGTGTGCTTCCACAAAACCTACAAAAACAGTTATGCTATTTCCCCTGAATACATATTCAAAACATTTGCCTCAAGGTTAGAAAAGCTGCAAGTCTGCAGCATGTCAGACTTGCTGTTCTCCATATATATATATATATATATATATATATATATAAACTTACCCTTTACCACAGACGTGAAGGTACACCCCTGCCACATGTGCCTGTAGCAAGCTGTTTATGAAAGTAGAGCATAAAATATTTGATCATGGTTTTGATCCAGAACATGCAAACATTTGTCCTCCTGTGCCGGCTTCACCTGGTGGCTTTCATTTTCTTCAACATAAAGACAGGGTGAAGCAGAGTAATAGAAAAATAGAAAACATCTTTGTCAAAAATGAGATTGCAGCTGTGTAACTGGAGCACACCACCATAAATCAGAATGTCAAATCCAAAGCACATGAGATTGTTATATTGCAACAACAAAATGTCAATAACTACTTTTTAAAGTCTTTCAAATTAATTATGTTTAAGTAACAATGTTCAAATTCAACATTTTGTTCTGGAATGTCAATTCTGAATACCTGAATTACTCAAGCATTTCCTGAAAGCTAGGACAAACTTTTATTCTAAAAAACATGTTTGGGTAGCTTTAAATAATCCAAATAAAATCTCACTGAAACTGAGAGAACAAGAATTTAAATCATGTCTGTCTCTATCATGACTAAGGATCAATACCTGTATAACTAAAAAAGTAACTTAGCAAAAAAATTTCTGTCTGAGCAATCCTTGTCAGCTATCCAAGTAGCAGAATTTCACCTACATGTTGTCTATACAGTTGAGATGATTAAAAGATGTACTACATAATGTCGCTGGAATCATATAACATGTCAGCTTCACTTATACCCATGGCAATGTTATTGTATAACAATTCAATTTAACAATCAAACTTCTAGTGGCTGAGAAACTGTAGGAAAATGAGGACAAACAGCACCTCAAAAACACGCAGAAGGCCACAAGATACTGAGTCACAATGTTCAACAATTAGATTGACACATTTTCAAACAAGTGCCTCTCACTCTCTCTCTGCCTGAGACTTCAGCTTGTGTATCATGTGCTTTCATCCACTGTGACTGTTCAACAAGAGAAGAAGTTTTTCCTTAGTAACAGTAAAAAGCCAGAAAAATAAGTGGCAAAATTGCACAGTGACATCAACTACAATCCCTTTATTCTGCCAGGATGGCATCCCAGTAGCAGAAACTGAGTGCAAATTTGGTGAGAACAGTCCCAAACTGATCATCTACAGTGGCAAAAACAAACAGTAAGTTTTGTAAGTTTGGCCACTAGCTCTCTCCCTCTTTCCTGCACTTCTCTGCCTCTTTGCAACTTTCTGCAGAGCTGCTCAGATCAAAGTAATAGAAATACTTAGATACTGAGTGGGTGGTGAACAGCAGAGTTGGAGCTGGAATTTGTGGCCTAGGGCAAAAACTTGCAGGGGACTCTGCTACCAGAGAAAACACTTAAAACCACACCTAAGAAATCTTAAGCAAAGCACTGTTTAAAGCTTCACACAGCAATCATCCCAAAGTTCAAAAAACCTCCTTCAAGCATCAAAAAAGCAGTTTATAGTAGGCATTCTGAACCCTCCTCGCAAAGATTTTAGTCACTAAAAGCACCTTTCATCAGTTAGTTTTGATACAATACTCCATCCTGATTTTGGCTGTACCACAAAACAACTGCCCACACCACTCAGTTATGTGAAGGTTAGCTGAAGAAGTCACCTTGAAACAGAACAGGAGTATCTACCAATACTGCCAATATTAAAAGTTCCACCTTTGCTGAGGTTTGAACATCCTTCAATCATCATCATTAAACTCACAGACACGGAGAAAATGTAATTTTTGCCTTTGAAAAAGTAAGTCCTTATACTGCAAATAAATAAATCCAAGAATAGACTGCGTATGCAGACAACATGGAGCACTGAGGAAAAAAATACTTAGAAATTCACAGAAAGCTGCATGTAGTTTAGAACATCACAAGAAAAACTGCAAAAATAAAGCATCCTAAGCTTGAAAGAGAAGAAACAGTTAATTTACTATGCTAATGTTTACTAATAAATCTTGTCAAAATAAAAAAAAATTACCATACCGCAGCATGTTTAATTTCTTCTAGAACTTACCAAACTCCGATACTGTCCCTGAAAGAGTTTTGAAGTTCTACTGTGTAAAGACTGGGATCCCAGAGAATCGAAAGATTTTATCCGATGGGATGAGGGACGTGCGCACACAGAGTCACTGCCCAGCCCTATGTCTGTAAAGGGGAGGAAAAAAAGTAAATACTAACATTTGAGAAATCTGCACACAAGTATAATGGTTACTTCTGTAAAACTCACGTGCCTAAAGCAGATTCGATGTATCTGTAGTTGCTCAATAATTCAAGATTTAAAAAAAATTATAGTAGCAAGTGATGTGAAATCCTGAGACACTGGCAGTTTCTTCCACACACAGACAAGAAAACAATTTGAGCCGTTCGGAAGAGAAGAGTTTGGGTGGCATTTCTCCATTCCTACTTGCTATCAGCCTATTTAAAGGTAATTAACCACCATCATTTTAGCTAGTGGCCAAGAATTTCAAATGCACAGAACTTGCTTGAAGCTAAGCCAGACACATCTGTTTCTTAGCTCTTCTCCTCACCACGCCATCTCCTCAATTAAAACATTCCTTCCACTGTCTTTTTTCCTATGTTCCTTTGTCTCATCCCTCTTTTGCCAACTAGGCTATTTCTTCTTCTTCTTTAGAAGGAGGAGGAGGGACAGAAGAGTAGAAAGAAAGAAAGTTGCCTGCTTGGAAAAAACAACACCCCCTCAAACCTTTCCTCTTTCACTTGTCTCCACTCGTAGAAGCACACCCATTTGCAAGAAGTCCATCTGAAGGGCAGTGTTCGGTGCTGTCAGCAGGGTGTCACTGGCATCCCTGAGCTACTGAGGCGGTGGCAGGGCTCATCCCACCACCCCAGCCAGAAGCAGTGTAGCTGTGGCACCAGAACAGCCCCAGCCCTGGACATTGGGCAGCTCCCTGAGCATGGCCTGTCAGCTGACCTGTGGGTGGGGTGTCCTCCTGTGGATTAGCAGGCCACAGCCAGGTAGGGGCTGGGCTGCACCCAAAAGTGGCTTCTTAGGGCTAGGGTCAGGGCTGGCTGCAGCCATGGGCTTTGTTTGTAAATCATAACTTTATGGCTAATTCTAATGCTTCCCCCCAAAATTATGAGTTGCTGTAGCCATCAGTAATGAATAGAATTTAAGGATTAAAAGTAACCTGAACCATCTCCATGTCCAGTTGGCTCTCTTTCCTAACTGCAGTCAAGTACAAGAACAGACATGCCACCAAATCCAGCATTATACCTCAACACGGTTCACCTAGGAAAACAGGGTCAGGTTGACTCCTGGCAGTGTGTTCCAGCCTCTGGGCAACCCTAAAACAAGCCACCTAGGATTTCTTCAAGTGTGGCCTGACTCCCCACATTTTCTGTTTAACAACAGCAGAGCTAATACACCAACGCAAGAGCACTTTTTGAGGCTTGAATTAGAAACTCTGCATGTTTGAGCTGTACACAAGGAAATTATTACAAACAAACCACATGCCAATCCCAAGTATATTTACCAATAATATCTGAATACTTACTTTCAAATCAGTTTGAACTTTCAGTAGATTTAGAATGCTTTCAGACCCTATGTATCCATTAAAGCTTCTATTAAAATACCAAATAAATATGTTCAATGCATTTCTCAATGGGATTATCAGAAAAATATTCAATCTGCTGTTGTAATTCAAGAATCTTGAATGACAACAGTATGTACATTTATGGCAAATATTAATTTGGTTTTTTCCTCAGAAGCTTCTCTCTCCTACCCATCCAAAGACTTTCAGGATTTCTAAATGTCTTCTTCTCTACCACTATCTCAGTTTTGCTATATCAGTTCCTTTCCCCTTATTTGCCTACAAAGAGAAACTGCTACCTTGATCCTAACCCTCCAGAAGCTAGGAACTTGATTATTTGCATATCCATAGCACTCTTTCATCAGTCTCCATGCTCATCACTCACATTCCTTCCATTGCAGAAAGGTCCATCTCAGAAGAACCTGTATATACATGAAATCCTTTCAAACTCAGATGGAGATCTGAAAGCCATCTTCCAATACTAGAGCAGAGAGATAGAGTCTGAAATTCCTTTTACAGAGTCACCCAATGAAAGAACACTGTTTGGAAAAACAGTTGGTCATGACAATTTATGCAGCTCTGCTTGCTCCTGGGAATGAGGCAGCACCACAGTTTGCATGTGGTTTTGATTTTTGGTTTCCATACCACCAGCACCCGTGCCCCCAGTGAAAGGCATCAGTCTGCATCCTTTGAGCCAGCTGCAATTGTGTCTTTTTGACGCGGATATTAATCTATTGATGTCTGGGCCAAATAGCTGCACTTTTTCTCCTCTTGAAAGACAGCTATGGTCAGTGTACAGCAGTTTTAAAGATGTACTGAACGATCTACGTTTGCACTTGCCATTAAGATGAACGGCAGTATCTTCAACTGGTATATGTAGCTTCAAAGAAATCAATGGTATTAACTTGTCCACACATTGGAACTAAGAATGTCTGTAAAACTCACTCCTAAAGGGTGTTTTCTGATGCAAGAAAAAAAAAAAGTCATAGAAAAAAATAATAATAATCTGTGTTGCAACAGACCAGAGGAGTATTATAAAAGTGATAAGATACTTACCATATTAACATTAAAAAAATAACACTGACTTTTCTATCTGCTTCCTTTTCCTCCTCACATAAATACTGACACACAAGGTCCATTTTTAAATAATCTATCTCTCACCAGACTCTATACTGACCATTACTAGAACTTGCTGCTAACAGTATAAAGCCCCAGCATGGAGCAGCAAGAAGGCAAAAAGGGCCACCAGAGTTAAGATTTCCTGATTGTCCTTAGGTCCAGCTGGTAACATTTAAAATACCCTCACCCCACAATGGAGCAGGGACACCCCTCACCTGTGTACTACTTCCACCAACCTCTTCTTCCCAAAGAGCCTGAGGTGGGTGGGGTTTGTGACTTCAAGCAGCTACCTAAATGAAACATGCATGGCTTAAGGGAGTAAAGGTATTCAGCTATCCTTTCATCACTGTCAAGAAAGGATGGTGCCTGGGAATGGAAAGTAAGTAAGAAATGACAAAACCTTGACAAAATTGTTCAAACATGGGAATGACAGAGTGGAGCCAAAGTCAACTTTACTACTGCAAAAGGGTAGGGGGGGAGAAAGGAACCAACCAAAAAAACCTAGGCTCTTTTTCTAAGAATTCTTGCCAGCTAAAAAGCTCAGCCTTAGCTCCACTGCAAAAGCTTCTTTCTGCAGAAGAGGGAACTAGAGAAATCAGAGTCCACTGCCAAAGTTTTAACATCAACTACAACAAAAACTCTGAAACGCTGCTCTTGTTCCTTTTATCATGTGTATTAAAAAGTAATAAAGATACACTGGTGCAAGCTAAAGGCAACTGTAAGCAAATACGAAGACACAGCACAGTCTACTTACCTGCAGTCACCTTATTTAAAGCCACAAGAGAGCTGAGAACTTTGCTGAAATTCTGTCCCTGATACAGGTCATTTGCATCAAAAGTCTGAAAACAAAAGAACATATAAGAAGTTGTAGAAACAAGCCTTTAAACTAAGCATTTCTATGCTATCGTGCAAAACATGACTGTAGAAGCTATTGCCTGTTCAAGGTAACAGTCTTTCAGTGGATGTTACAGACCAGTACTGTGAGTTTTTTCTCTTTTTAAGGAAAAAAAACACAAATAATTTTTAAGTAGAAAGAGAATACAGAAATAGCCACATTTGAGAAAAACTGAAGAACATAAGCCAAAAATTTCAGGCTTCACTTCAATTACAGGAAAAGTTGACTATAACACCATTATCACAAGAGAGACACTTTCCTCAGACACCTTGACCGAAAAAGCTACTGGATACCATTACTCTTGGTAGCAGCACACAGACATGCTACTTGTTTATTCATAAAGTACTTATTATCATTACTAAAACACAAAACCATACACGCTCTTTATTCTACAAGACACAGAGGAAAGCAGCATTCCTGAAAAACAATGAATTTTACAAAGAGTTAAGTTGCCGGATAGGTTAGATGGAGAATGAGGTTTGGGAATAGATGAAAGCTGGAGGCTATTTTATTTTTATTTTTTAACTGTGTGAAAGAAATCCAAACCTTAAACTGTCTTGGAGAAAACACTCCAGTAACTTTCAAGTTCTGGGTAATGACATTAAACATCTGGATTTTCAAGGGAAAAGAGGAGATTAAAAAAAAAAAAAAAAAGAGACCCATAATATTTGCCTGAGGTAATGGAAACCTCATCCAAAGTCTCACAAAAATAGCTCATGCAATAGATTCTGTATAGGTTGAAAGTAGTCACAGTATTCCCTTGCGCAAGGCTAGAAAGAGGATAATAAAAAACAGCTATTACTGTTGTTCCAACTGATTTAAGAAACAGAAAGAGATTTAGTTTCCCACAGCATAATACTTTTAATCTAAAAAGTCAACAAAAACATGTTCATTTTCCTGATAACAGACCCATCCCACATGCACAATCAGAAAATCTGTACCCCAGAAAGCAGCTTTCAGAGGCAGGAGAGGAAAAATCTGTATTCCCAGGGGAGAAGAGAGAAAGAGTAAAAAAAAGGCTTGTTGAACCCAAGATAAGTTAAAACTGTCATGAAAAAAGCTACCCGAAGTAACCACAGAAGGGGCTGCCAGACCAGTTGTGACTGGTTTGTGATATACTGACAAAGATAGAGCTGATTTAGGAAACATTTAATGACCATATTATTCAGTAAGAAAATAAATCTCCCAAAGCATTCACAATATTTGAAGTACATGAACATTTTAACATGCACTTCCCCCCCCACTCCCAGACTGAGGATCATCTCTGGTCCCAGTGAGCAGCAATTCTACCTGGGCTGTACAGATGCTGGCTTCTCTGAAGCTCAGGTAGTGTGTATACAGCTCAGGAAAGCAATGCCACAACACAGATTCAGAATAAAGCAGTCAAACACTAATACACTCCAAGCTCTTAACACTCACATAAAATAAGTCAAATAACTATTTCATCAAGTTTCACTGGGCTACAGATAAAGTAAAGCTTACTCTTATTTATTTTAGAAACTGTATAGAGTAAGGAGAAGGATCAGGAAATTGCCTTGATGTGAACTTTGTAGGGTTTTACCTGAAACATGGGGAAGTATTTAAAGACTGTGTACACAAAAAGTGTTAGGCAAATAAGATATAATCCAATTTTACAAAAAGAATGAAGACAGGTTAAGTTTTAATAATAGCATAATATATAATAAATAGAACTGAGAAAAGATACCAGTAAGGTGACATCAGAATACATAGAACCTGGCTTAAACACAAAACTAGATGGGGATCAGGCTAACACCACTGCTCAAATTGGGGGAAAAATCTACGCTGAAAGGGAAAAAGAAAGCGTCAAGAGTGTAAAATTTTAATTGTTAGCTACATGCTTATTGTGGTAGTTTTAAAAAAGTAAATTAGAAGTATGAACCAAATAATGAAATAATGGCCCTGAACCTAAAAAAAAAGATATGCAAGAAACACAATTGCTTGGGTGGACACCAGAACTAGATCAGAAGAGGTATTATGAGGAGACAGAGGGAACTATTAAAAAAATAATGTTTAAGAAAAAAAACCACTATAAACAATACAAGTAAAATTATAAGTTATAAATTATAGCTTAAACTTACAAAAATGTCTTTAAAAATCTTAAATCTGTTTTAAGCTCACCTTCATTCTGGATTCTGATAGAGCCAAAAGCACTCCAAAGTCAGGCTAACTGGAAAACCACAGGATGCAAGGAAGCCTTGTTTCCTGCTACGCAGAGACTATAGGGGTACTAAGAACAATTTGATTGGATCATCCCAATATATACAGTGCCATAAAAAAGCCTGTATCCAGGACACACATCCAGTCTGCTGCTTCACAGGAAACAACACAATGGGAGGATACGAGAAACGTTTGCTTCCTTGCGATTTTACATAAAGCAATTCTGACAGGAAGCCACCCTCAGCACACTCATGGCCAGTATGTTTATTAGTAGCATTTGACGAAGGGGGAGTGGTACATGGCACCCTCCGGAGAGATTTTCTCCCAACGCTAGCAAATGTTTATTATGGAACTAACCTAGAGAGATAAAAAATGAGGGAAAAAAGCTTAGGTGCTTTACATTTTTTACACTAATTTGTTATGAACTCAACTACTTGATCATAAAATCATCATTAAAAAAAACACCAAAAAAAAACCAAAACAAAAAACAAAACTACAAACCCTCACAAAAATAAAATACAACAAACACATCCTTATTCCCTCCTAGTGGAGGTTTGCTCATTTCACAATATATTTGAAAATTCTGATATGAGTAAAAGAATCAAGATGCTTTAAGAGGAGCTTCCATGGGACTGCAAGAGAAAACAAGCTTGTTCCAGGTTTTCAAGAGCAGTCTGACTTGAACATAGATTATGATCTTCATTATAGTTTTTATATACAGATCAGCTGTGAGAACCAGCTCTTAAAAACATCCTCAGGAGAGAAAGAGTCATTCACTAACTTCCCTACTCAGTGTCACTGGATGATGAACATCTCCCCCCCCATATAACACCCCCAGTTCTGCAACTGCAAGAATCAAGGCTAAATTTTGAGATCCAAGCATTGAAATTATTTTTATATTGCACATTATTCCCATAATTTAGCCTTCAGACCTTGTTATATCTTTTCTAATACTAGCATAACCCACTTTCCAAATAAAGTCAGAAGCACTACGTGAATTCAAACTTGCACATGCTTGGAACTGCTCTTAAAAACCTTACAGTGCCAATACTTAGATACTAGCATGGAAGTCTGAGATTTGTCTCTTAAACATTATACAACAGGCATATATAGATGTTAAATGAGGAAAATCTTCCAGCGACTTTGCATCCTTTCCCCCCCATATAACACCCCCAGTTCTGCAACTGCAAGAATCAAGGCTAAATTTTGAGATCCAAGCATTGAAATTATTTTTATATTGCACATTATTCCCATAATTTAGCCTTCAGACCTTGTTATATCTTTTCTAATACTAGCATAACCCACTTTCCAAATAAAGTCAGAAGCACTACGTGAATTCAAACTTGCACATGCTTGGAACTGCTCTTAAAAACCTTACAGTGCCAATACTTAGATACTAGCATGGAAGTCTGAGATTTGTCTCTTAAACATTATACAACAGGCATATATAGATGTTAAATGAGGAAAAGTATTTCCAATACACCCTTTCTTGCCAGGCAAAAACTCTGCAGACTCCACCTGTGATGTAGTTTAACCTCTTGTTTATCCAAACCTTTTCTTTAACCAAGACAGTCAGATAGAATATTAGTCAGGACACAAGTATAAAACCATCATAAATCCCATCAGATGAAGACCTAGCCAAGCTAAATCTTTTGAACAAACTATTCAAATGAAATACCTTTGTTCTTCAATTTCATAGAATTGACCTCATGCAGTAACATAAAGCACACCTATTAAATACAGACTGAGACTATATTAGGAGCTGGAAATCAATCAATTCAAGCTTAGCAGGCCTCTAATTACTTGTCTCTTTTCCTGTTCTTTAACATTTTTCTCACATTGTTCTGTTCTCTCCTGGATTTCAATGTTCAAGACATCAATATCCCAGGCATACACTGTGTCCTAGAAGACCAGACCAAACTGCCTTAAATCGCAAGGGATCTTACGTGATCTGTAACACTACATATATACTCAAAAGCAAGCTGGCCCTTTTGAGCAGAGGACACTGGCTGCCAAATCCTGTTGATTACTTAACTTGACCCACATATCCTGGCTTCCCTTTCCACAACCCCCCTCAAGATTCAAGCCAGGCTTTTCACAGAATCACAGAATGTTAGGGGTTGGAAGGGACCTCCAAGATTGCCAAGTCCAACCCCCCTGCTGCAGCAAGACCAAAAACCAGAGCAGGTCACTCAGAAAGGCATCCAGAGGGGTCTTGAAAGTCTCCAGAAAACGAGACTCCACAACTTCTCTGGGGAGCCTGTTCCAGTGCTCTGTGACCCTCACAGTAAAGAAGTTCTCCTAATGTTGAGGTAACTATGCTTCCATTTTTTGCCCCTAGGGTTTCAGTTGGCTGCAAACTATTGCTAACAACTTTAAGTCCACTTTCAGGTCATTAATTAAATGTTACATAACATGGTCAAATACCAATGGCAACAAATCCCCTGTACCTAGCAAGGTGTACACTGGATGGCCATTCCACATTTGTAATTATATCAAAACCTCTCAATCAGCCAATTTTAAAATTCATTTTATATGAGCCATTTTTCAATCACTGACATTAAACACTGAACTAACTGGCTCAGAGATCGATTTCACCCACATACTGGTTGTTCCACTACCAAATCTATCCTCTCGTTATTTTAAAATAAGACTGATTTCTGCATACATGTTTTTAAACTCCATCACATTCAAAATGGCCATCATAAAACACTCAGGTAATTTTAAGTCACCTAAACCACCAACCCACAGTGGATGGAGACTTCTGCTCAAAAGGTATTTCTGATCTAAAAGCAAGAAGAAAATAAAACTGACATAGCAATGCTCAACCTTCATATCCCTGCAACAACCAGTATCTACAGAAATTGGAAAAACATTAACTGAGGAAATTAGTGACAGGAAAAGGAAATAAGAAAATCAGTTTTGAGAATATACCTAGTGAGAGCTGATTAAGGCAAACAGTAAGCCTGCAGCAGCATTCTTTTCTTCAAATGAATCAGTTTCAAGGCCTCAGGTATCCTTTAAACCATTTTAATCCTCCTTTCCAGCCCATTACATTAGAAGTCAATTATTTCCCAATAAGTCTACAACTGGAGACAAGAAAAAAAACAGGGGTGGTTCAAAGATGCTTACAGACACACTTTTTCTTCAAATGTTCTCTACCAATCTTGTTTGTATCCTTAGACCACCAGAGCATCAGTAAGTCTGTATCTCTCAGTCATAGTAAGAAAAGTTCATATAATGGTTAAGAGTACAATAGAAAGGCTTTTCTCAAATATTTCCTTGCTAGACTAGTGCCTTGAATATACACAGGTATAGTATTCCCAGTGGATATTAACATTCTAAGCATCTGTCTGACAAAAATACATGACAGCTTTCTTTACAGCACTGCACCATAAACTGCAGCAGCTGAGGAGCTGACTTACCAGCAGCCCAGACATCTGTGCAGCACAGATAGGAATGCTGCTGCTAACCTTGCCAGCTAGCCCCAAAATAAGCTGTCACCTCTAGGTTGTGCATAGTAAACTGGCTCAGCTTAGTGGCCTTGGGCCCCTAGTGCAAAAGATTACAAGAACATTGGCTCACTCACCCATAGGAAATGCAAGGAAATTAGCAGGGTGGCTTGGCAAAGCACAACATGACCACATACAATGTGTCACTCCACCTGTTCCTAGCACATAGACTGCGGCACTGTTGGCCACAGAAGCATGAATAAACAAGTGGCAGGGAAAAAAAAAGGCAACTCACAGTTAGAAATAGGTGACCTTCTTGAAAAACACTAAGAACCTCCAACACCTCACTTCATTGTGCCATCAGCCCCATTGTATTTCTATCCCTAGAGCAGCTGGCAAGGAAAAGCCACAGAGGCCATCCACGGTCCACCTTCCCGTGATGACACCTAATTAACACAGGCTGGAAAAAAAGATCCTGTTGGTAAGTCTACATGCAAAGCACAAATTTCTTCATTTATCCTTACATTAGGTCAGCTGTAAGTGCTGCGGCTCTCATTCAGCTATTATGCAGCACCTGTTTCTTGAGCTGTGAATTATCATCTGAAAGCTGCGGCAGTAAAAGGAGAGATAAGAAAAGCAGGGAGCTATGACAACTGAGAGAGGAAGGGAAAGGGGGGGGGGGAGAGATGATTAGAAATGTTCTGGAAATCTCTATGCAGCATAATGTTGCCCAGATCTAGTACGCACAGAATAAGACAGAAGAAAAAAAAAATAAATTAAGTTCTGTTTCAAAAATTAAGGAGTAAGACAAGGAAAAGTTTGAAAATAACCGGCACAGAATGGCAGTGAAGGATTTCTCTGAGATTTGGTAACAATTCACAAGAGAAATAGAAACTCAGTGGCAAAAAAAAAATTTAAAGAGCTCAAGGGGCAGGGAATAAATTGCTCACAAAAACCCGTTCTCAAAAGTAAAATCTTAATTGTACTAAAAACACCACATCAGCTAGAAAGCTTACTTTCATTCCTACAACCAGTAATATACTTAAGACCTAATGTTACCTACAAAAGCAGACACAATGAGCAATAAAAAAAAATATATGGAAGTTTTTTTGTGTCTGTGTGCACATGCACGTATCTAAATACACATTTGTGACATAAATCTGAAGAGGGTAAAGGTTTAAAGTGCCTGAATTAAAGCTTTCCAGCTCCAAGAATTATTTTTCTCAAACCAGCAGCATAAAAGCACAAATGGCTCTGCCAAGCATTAATTCCAAATACTAAGTAAGATTTTACCTAAGCCACTGTTTCAAAGTCAACATCTACACATTGCCAAAACTAAACATATACAACTTATTTTTCACTAATCCCAGAGAAGAGAAAAAAAAAAAAAAGAAAAAAATTTAAAATCTACACAAAATACTGAATTCCTTTTTGGAGAAGAACCGTATCATTTCTGAAGCTTTTCAAATCTGCCTGGTTTTGGAATGTGACACAGCAAGCTAGTATCTTCAAATGAATTCTTCAGTAATAAAGTCGTAGAATTT